ACCTATGGTGATGTGAGGATAAAGGTAGTCTTCCTGTGATGTAGGCTGGTAGAGAACTATTATCTTTAAGCTAACTTGTGGCTCAAAGCCTCTGCAGCCTCTGAGAAGCAAGATATTAAGCGCTGCAGAGTTGTGTCTGTGTAACTTATGACGCGGCATCGTCAACAAAAGGTCCTCTCGGATGTGGTGTTTTAGAATCTGTCATGGATATCTGTCGCGTTAGGGGTAACTGTCGCCTTAGGTTGCATAGGCTTCCATTGGTGAATACTGAATGTAAATATCGTTGTCTTATCAAGGTTTGCCATGACCCTTTTTAGCATCATGATGAAGAAGATTGTGAATAGAGCTGGTATGAGAACGTAACTTTGCTTCCCATCATTGATTATTGGGAAGAGTTCAAGGGGTGATGCATCGCCATATCTAACTATACCACAGTACCACAGCTGAATATGTTACACTTGAGGCATCAGTAAACACGTGAATTCCAATTAGATTTGATGGACTTGTAACGAACCGCGGCAAGCCCTTCGCAGTTGTTGGCCATTCATCGATAAGATGTTTCCATCGCTGCTGATCTTCATCGTCTATGATTTGGTCTCATAAATTTGTCCCATACTTTAGACTCCTTGTTGCCAAAGGAGCGCATGTTATAATTATCTTCATCGATTTTTACGTGACCTAAATGATTGGCTAATTTCCGTGATATAAAGGTTGAATCCATGCCAACGTCAAAGAGTGCTAAGGCTTCTACCTGTAGTTCCAGTTTTTCTGGATTGAAGACCCTAATTCCCTCACATAAGAGCAATACTCTCTTCTGTTTGCGTAGTGGTGTTGATAGTAGCACTTGAATTTTTCGTTGTAATTTTCTGTCAATCATTTGCAGATTCCTCTTGTTGCTTGAATTCGCGATCCATAATGCTACATAGAGCGTTGTATGATTTATTGATTTGCTTTAATCGATCAGTTTGTTGCTTAAACGTGGGATAAACATGGTACTCATTATCCCAGTGATTCTTGTTGCAGAATATACAAGGTCTTCTCCTTTTATCTATCAATTTTTTTTTGCGAGACTTCGAACGACTTTAGATCCATTTATTTAGATTGATTCTTTGGAACTGAAGCCAAAGTGTTAAACTGCCTTTGCTTTGTTTGATTGCGGCCAACGCAGAAGTTTCTGTTTTAGTAGTTGGATTAGAGATGTACTCGATTGGATTTCTTCGGTTTCTAATGCTTGATAGTTGTCTATTCATTACCGGTTGGTCGGTTCTGTCAACTAAATTTCGGAGAAATTGTCTGGGTTTTGTCACCGAACATTGTTCGTTTTCTTCCTTTTGTTGACATACCTTCTCCAATAACCAACCCGGTAATTTGGATTCTATCGCGGTCTCAATGCTGGCATGTTGTAGGTTTTCACCTATTGCTTCTAGTTCTCTGAATACTCTTTCGACTTCTTCGACCGTTGATTTCTGAGACCGTTGATTTCTGATTTTGATTTCTGATCATTTCGTTTTATAAAAGTGAGCTCATAGTAGAGCAATTTTTTTTTTATGGTGAAGGATTGTCAGATTTTTCCAGCAGTATTTCACATATAATTTTATAGTTTTCTGGGGCCCTGTCGTACCCTTTTACGGCTTATAGGGGGCTTCCCTTTAAACAGGATATTAAGTGATTTAATTTTTGAATATCTGGGATTCGTTGGGAGTGAACTGAAGCATCGAAGCTGCTCCAGAACTCCCTTCAGGTTTTGGGTCACCATTAAACGTCAGTATTGAAAGTTGGAGCAAGTTTACTGTTGGTCTACAGGCTTCTTGACCTGTTTCCCAATGCTGGATTTGCTGGACTGCTACCTCGACTTCTTGAGCTAGCTGTTGAAGGTCATCCTTATATCCTTATACTTCCTTATAACAGTCAATGTTATAATAGTTCCTTTACCTTCGTTAATTAGGTCCAAAACACTATTATGATGACCATTTCTGCTTATTTTCCTTCTTCCTCCTTTTTCTTGAGTGAAGCTGATATTTGTTGAAGTATTCGAGCCATTTCTAGTTGGCTGCTTCGAGCATGCCAATATTGATTTCGATATCTTTCCTTGATGATCCTTTTCCTAGCTTCGTATAGCTGACGCAGTTTATCTTTTGTTAAGTTTTGATCGAATGGCGTTAGGTCCATTCTTTGTACTTCTTCAAGGAACTTCTGCATCATTAATCGTATTGGTTGCGCACTCGCTTTTATGCTGGCGGACATGGCGTCCTAGTTCATGGCACCATAATTTGTCTTCTTCGAATTGATGAGCAGGTAGAATATTTGAAAAGAGATACGAACGACTTTGAATTCTAGGAAGGAGAGTAGTCTGTAATAAAAGGCGACGGCAATGGTCACATTGATCGGTAACAAAGGACACAGTTAATACAAACTTTATTCAAAAAGCAAAAGGAAGAGTTCAAGTGAGTGTGAATTGAACTAAGGTATGGAAAGTTGTCGGACGTCAGTAAGGTCTGAACCTCCGAAAAAAAAGAGACAAGCTTTTATATAATGGGTATGAATAACCTGGAAAATATGATAAGACGTTTGTTTACACTGTTTCAATTCGTAATAGTAAACATAGTAAGACGTTTACATTAAGCTACTTGGCTTAAGGCCAAATAATTTTACAATACAATTGCTTCCCGACATTGGCCGTTTAACCAACCAGGTACAATATAACTTATAGAAATAAGCATTGGTTAGAGACCTTCTCTAGGCCCCTCTCCGTGTAATGCAAGCAGTGCTTCCTTGGAGAAGGTTGCTTGGTCATTCAGAATGTTGTCAGAACAAGGTT